GGATCAAGGCTAGCACCACCATTTCCTGACTCTACCTGCATTGTTGATTTTTCACGCAGGCCTGCTTGAAAATCAACTTGGTTTGGCCTACCATGAAAATCTTGGTGTTGAACACCATGTTGTAGATGATTTACTGGAACAGGGGTGCCCACCTTAATATTATCACCTACCTTCCCAAGGAAATTTTGCATAGAGCTGGATGGACCTTGTTCACTCATTAAAGAGCTAAATTGCATCGATGCCTTTTCGGACTGATGTGCTGCTGCCCTTGCCATTGCATTCCGTGGATCAGTTGGGATCCCTAAGAACTGAGAGTGCTGATTTCCAGATCCATCTCTGCTGGTAGTATTTATTGGATATAAAGATGGGTTCATTTGGTGTGCAGCTAATCCCATCGGTCTCATGGGCTGAATCGGAGTGTTTGAAAACATTGAACCGTTTACAAAATTGGCTACACCAGGAGCACCACCATATTGCTCCCAATTTGTGTTACTGCTAGGATTCAACATTTGAGAATTGCTTGCCAACCCTGGGTCACTACTACCATGTAGTTGATGTGACCATGCATAAGCTGTAGATTCATTGTTTGGCATTTCATTCGTCATTGCCGAGAGTTGATCAGTTGGAAGTGGTTTTGCAGGAGCTTGAAACTGACCAAAAGAGGGTTGCATCCTGGCTCCATGATCAAGCTGTTGTACCTGCTGCTGTCTCTGAAACTCTTGCAATTGCTTGTACATCATCTGTTGTTGCCACACCTGAAAATCACTATCACCTCCATGCTGAGTAGGGTGAAACTGTGACATTCCCAACGTATTACTGTGGGTCTAATGCACGTGAAAACGTAAGGCGTCGGCAATATGCAAACCCCAAAGTTTCATATCAAACGACACTACATGCAGCTCTTAGATCTGTCAGGTTCAGGATGATGAGGATGATCCCACTGATATTACAGCTAACACGGAAGGGTAACCCTCAACCAATAAAGCAGAATTCAAGCTGAAAGCAACCTGAAACCGGCCTCTTATTTTTCCGTAGCCTGAAATGTTAAAAATGTTCACGTTAGACTGCTGTTGAACACTATACATTGAAAAGAATAAGGAGTACAGTTCACTGCATTGCATTGACATGCAAACACGAGGTGGTAAAGACAACATAGAGACGATAGCAGTAAGTATCCATTAAGCAGGTGTAAATTATCTCCCATTTAAAACAAGGAGTTGGTTGTGATTGTGCAATCTACCCCCATACTCTTCTCATCAAAATATCTTTTGTGGATGGATCTGCATAGACGTGCATCATTTGTAAGCTTTTGTAAAGGATTGCACCTAACATTCAGCGGTATGGTTGATCCAATTAGAATTGTGTCTGCAGTATTTTAGACTACAGAATCATTATTCTTGTGTTAATTTAAGATTAGAACCTTAAGCAATACTTAATTGAAATCATCACAATGCACCGCCTGATAGGAACTATGCTACTTGAATTAAAAATATGTAGTCATGTTTGAATGGTGATGAGACAATTTACCAAGATTAGTATTTTACATTCCTGGATAAGTAATCAACAACAAAAGTGGATCTACATCTGTATTAGAGTTAAGAAACGTTGTCGATAAATGTAGCAAGGAGGGATTCAATTTGTGCACCAACAATCTTCAAAGAAGACATTGTTGCATTTCCGGTTTGAATTATGTAAATAGAGTTCAAAGTTTGTTGGTGGCAAGTGAAGAAAGCTACGAGTGCTGCAGATCAATGCACAGGAGACACAACAGCTCATGAAACAACACACTACTTAAGCTCACTTGCTAGAGTGCCATACTTGACCGAAACTGGCATGGAGACGAAAAAATAAACACAAAAGCTCAGCTAAGTTAAGCGTATCTCCCAGGAAACACTATTAGTTAGCACGACCGAAATGGCATCTCTAAACTCATGCTGTATTCGGAAGCTATGAGCAAGGAAAAGCGAACAGAGTAGAACCATGAATTCAAAACAAAGAAACTTGAACTTGAACACATCATCACAACTATGTCAGCAGATTCATAAATACTATCACTATAATTAGGCAGCCAGCTTGAAATCACAAAGACAAACTCCATTCCCCTTAAGCAGGCACCAAAGCAAGCATATATGCAGGAGAAAATAAAGCTGAAAATGTCGATACCAGCAGACACACCATACGATCTATTTGCTAAGCTCAAAGATGCCATTTTCCCCCACTTATATACCATTAGAAAAGGGATGCAGCCTGTAAATCTCCAAAGATGCAGAGGAGACAACAACGAATTAGCTCGAACTCTGCATCATCAACTCAGACCTCGATGCTCAAAGGAACCATAAAAAGGTGGCCACACGAAATAAAGAGAACGCATCTACTGAAGCAGACCCCAAATCCCCCACGTTTCTCCGCCGCCAGGAGACGCCCGAATCCCGGAGCATGCAACCAAGAGCAACCCAAAGCTACGCTCCCGCGCTGCTTAGCACGAGCCTACACTTTTAAGCAAGTAGATGAACTCAGCTGAAGTGAGCTAAAGCTTGAATCCAGCCAAACCCTCGACCATCCCACACAAATTACCCCTCGGAAACCTAAAATTTAGCACCCAATCAAGCAAACCCAGCCACAAAAACCCAAGATCGAGCGCCACATAGCTCCCAATTTCCCCACTCACACAGATCCCCCATGAAACAAACGAACCCCCAAACTTTTCCCCCCTCCCAAAAAAAAAAATCCCCAAGCCCCCGGTCACGCCACGACCCCCTCCCACCCCCACCCGATTCACACCCATCCCCGCAGCCCCCCCACGCAGGCACACCCCAAGACCACACCCCCCGCGAATTCCGGGGAGCCGATTCGGGCGGAGACCTACCTCGATCGGCTTCGGAACTTTAGGGCGGCGAAGCGGATCGGATCGGCGGCGCGCGCGCGTCCCCCCCTCCCTCCCCCGGGACGCCCCCCGCGGCGCTCGCTCGCACGGCCCGCGCGGCTAGGGTTAGGGTTCCCCCCCGCGGCCGCGCAAATGGCGAGGGTTTCGAGCTCCAGCAGCAAAGCGAGGGGGGCGAGATGAGAGAGAGAGAGAGAGAGAGAGCAGCGAGCGCAAGCGAGAGGAGAGGAGAGAGAAGGAAAGCTCAGCTCTCGCGATGGGGTTGCAAAGATAAAGCGTGGTGTGTTGTTTACTAGCCCTCCGCGAAGATTTCAACGAAGGCGCCCACCCGGTCCGGTCCGGTCCGGCCTGGCCCGGTTCGGCGGCGTGGGCCCGTGCCGACCGGCCGGTCCGGCTCGGGGGGGTGGTGGGGGGTGCATCTGGGCCGTGGGTTGGGGGTCGGCGGGGATGTGGGCCGTTGGATGGGGGGGAAACGGCGGGGAGATGACGGCGTTAGTTAGGGGAGGGAAAGGGACGTTGGTGGGGGGGGGGGGGGGGTGGCCGCGTGGGTAGGAAAGCGTGGGTATTGGGATGCGAGCCGGGGGCGCAGGGAAAGTGGTGACTGGTGTGAGTAAATGCGCTATGGACCTGGTTGGTTTTTACTTTAAAAGAGGGGTTGTTTGCCGGTGAGCTACATGGATTTTTCCATCTAGAGATGCTTGAAAGAGTTTAGGGCTATAGATTTTGGGTGAGATGTTTTGCTTTGTTTTTATTTAAGTATATTTATCATATGTATCATTGTTGTGGTTGTGTAAGATAGTACTCCATCCATTCCAGATTGATCTTTCTCTAAGCAAATGACACCAAAACCAAGAACACCAAAATATTTATCATTTTTAAATTAATTCTCATTGGTTAAGGTGTTTCATCGTTTCGTGACTCATGTATTGCTCATATCTAAAATATTGCATGACATTGCACCAATAGAAATTAATCTTAATGGTGCACATTTACTTTTTGCACAAATAAACGAACGACTCTACAATTTTGCTTATTCGGGGAATAAGCAAAACGACAGATTTGCAAACGAAAAATAATTTGTGGATAAAATTTTTATATTCGTATTCTTAGCTATCTAAAAGCAAAGGCTGAAAACTAAACTTTGATGAAAAAAACCTCAAAATCAACTTCAAATTTAAGGTTGGAAATTCAAATTTTGTCTGATAAGCATAAGCATAGGCTAAAAGATGAGGCCGGAAGAGATACTTATTAGATAATGTTTATTTTGGGAAGACATAAAAATCCTTAGGGGATGATGAAAATGGGGGTGAAGGGAGTAGCAAATTTATGAAGCTTGAGCTGAAACTATCATACTTTGGATTAGGTAGAGATATGTTTAGCTTGATAAAATTTAAGTTGAAACAACTAAGTTTTCTTACTATAATATTTATCATTGTAGTGAATATATTTCAGTACACCACTTTTATATCAGGGTAGTGGTTATTATTATCTTTTTATAAAATTAATTAAGAGTTACTCAATAGTTGAGAGCTACCTCTTTTGCATGTGGATAGAAAGTACGTTTTGGTATGATTCTCTAAAAGGATATGATAATATTATTAAGATATAACTGATACTCAAACCTAGGTGGATGGATACACTTGTATGCGTACCATTTGTTGTTCATAAGAGAATATAAGCATATCAAGTTACTTATCCTACCCTCCCCCCTCCCCCTCGGCATGACTACCACCGGGGGAGGGCCTAGGCCTCAGGGCATCCGTCCTAAGGCCCAAGGCATAGGATTGGAGGCCCATTATGATGTACATTTTTTCAACATGTAAGACGCAACTCAGCATGGGCTAGCCCTAGCCCGACCCTTGAGCCAATCCTGGGTCTATTCCTGGCCACCACTACTCCCAAACTGGGGCGGATCTAGGACAAGTTTGGAGGGGCTCATCTTCCTCCTCCTCTAGCCCCCTACCCTTCTAGTCCTTCTCTTCTTTCCTTCTCTCCATAGGGATCCATCAGCACCCCCGTGTTAGATCCTCCATGCTCCCAAATTGATATTGTTTTATGTCGCGGCGTTCAACTTGATATGGTTGCTAAAAATAAAATTTTGACCGTTAGTTTGTTTAAATCTACAAACCATGCTGTAAAAGTACTCTCAAATCTGACTACAGTGTAAACATGCATATTGTTGAACTTCTTGTTTGTCAAAATTAATAAAGTTCTCTGAATCTTGAAATGCATAGTACCCGGTAAAAATCCTATTACTTGAATACTAGACAGATTTGAACACCTTCCAGATCTAATATGATATCACTCGCACAACAACATATCATAAGGCTCAATCCGAGAATTCATCATACCACAAAATAACTTATGATAATAGAGTTATTTAAGAACCACTAGAATATTTTCTTGCTCGATCAGCAGTAGGAGTGGATTAGTGGAAGCTTTGGTGCATATGTTCATAAATAAATACCAAACTTACTCTACATGGCTTATAGTATATGAGTATAACAAAAGTCAAGTACTCAGCTTGGAAGAGTTCCTGGACCATATATAGTGGCATAGTCCCCACGTTGACGGCCGGCCTCTGTTATCTAAAGCAAACAGTACTCCCAAAAGAAAACCAAAGGGAGAGACGACAGCAGCAGCAGCAATCAGCCAGCATGAGGAGCCGCCACATCGTACTTCTCTGCGTCAAAGAAGCTGCCAATGGGAGTTATTATCTCATCATCATACAACACTCACTCACTATATCTCTGTGCACTGCACTGCACTGCATGCATTGCTGTACTTCTCCTAGAAGTACTAAAGTACAAAACGCTTTCCATCTCGTCATCAAATCTTTTCTCTCTCTCACACACACACACATGACTTTGGGACTTGGGACACATGACTGCAACTGCAGCATCAGCATCAGCAGGAGTACACTTGGAACATTCTCTGCAGTGCAGGTGTGCAGGCCATGCCAAAGCAGTACCAACAGTTTTTTATTGTACTCTGTCCCTGCTGCTACTACTACTACAAGACACTGGCATGCATATGCAGGCAGGATATGGCAGGTTCTGTTGCCTCGGTTAATTGCAAATACTCCATTCAGACACAGAACACAACAGCACGGGACAAACAAAGCAGCCGCGCTGACTGACTGACTGACTGACGCACACATGTTAGCCCAATATACTGTCTCACTGCAATCTCACACTGGGCCACTGGATTGGCTGCGAGCCTGACGTTGTGTGTGCGCGCCACATGCCCAATGCCCAATCACAACTCGTCGTCTGGCTGCTCATGGTGTGTGCACTTGCTCCAAGATTCTTGGGGAAATTAAAGCGACTTGGATACAAGATTCTTGCTCATGGTAACCTTTTTTCTTTCTTCCTTTCTATATTTCAATGAGAAAAAAATAAAGAGCCGTGCAATTTACTATAGATGCGTAGGAGGAATGTAAATATTAGGGGAATATTAGTATTAGTGCTGGCTTAGTTAGCAAAGTGGATTTGATGGTCACATCATCGCCGTGCTCTTTTTTTCCTTTTGTACTTTGGCGTCAGTGTGTGTGCGTGACTCAAGTGACAGGATCAGATATACTCCACCATAGGTTCCCTTTCTCTTCTGCCTTTCTTATATGAGAATTAGACGGAGGTTGACTGACTCGAGCTGGCCTTTTCAAAAAAGCCCTGCCGATTTGGACACACTACTGAAGCAATGCAGTGTGTGTGCACAAGTAAGCAAAAGAAAAAGACATTTTTAAGGCCCTCTCTCTCTCTATCTTTCAAACCATAAACAAAAGTGACAAAACCGATTCTCATCGCATCAGCACTACTACTACTACTTGTGCACGAGGCTGTGGCTGCACTTTTTCCTCGACGATGACGACGACAACTACAACGTCGTACTGCAGCTGCACGACCGGATCTACTGAGAGAGAGAGTTTGACAGGGACAACCGGGGGCAGCAACTGCTGCTGCTGTCGTGGCAGTGTAGTGGTAGTACGTGCAAGTACTCTTCATCCTGGAGAGAGAAACTAATTAACGGATTTGGTTGGCATCGAAAAGAACATTGAAAAGGGCCAAGTGGACAGGAACACATATATACTCTCTCGTGTGGTGGCAAGTGTATTGATTTGATTAGTACGACGACGTGATTGGCTCTCGATCGATCGGCTACTGCCCGCCGCGTCGTCACGGGAATGTCCCCTGCAAAGTCGCGTGCTGCCGCTGGTTGGATGATGGATGGATCGATGTGGTCGGCTACTCGGCTGGACCGGCCGGTTTGGTCATGTGATCATGTTACGTGAGGCAGCCCTGAAAAGAAACTACTCCCACCATAAAAAATAAACCACATATCCCGTACGAGGTTGGTTTATTTTGGGACTGAGGGGTACTACTCGTGTGCTTTGCTTGTGACAGACAGGAGAGGATAAATTGGGAGATAAATGGATCAGGCCGGTCTCGGCTAATTTAATGCCAGGAAGAAGGAGGAGGAGGAGGCACATGTGTGTTGGGTTTGACTCATAGTAGCATCAGGGAGTGAGCATTTTGTTTTTTTGGATGTTGTTGTTGTTTCTTAAAGGAGGAAAGGGCAAGGGAGCTGACAGGCATCAGAGCTGGTCCATGGTATGGAAGGAGCATTTTTAAAGAGCATGTGTTACTCTGTGAGTGTCCAAGCCATTAAAGCCATTATTAAGGTGCTATTGGAGTCGAATTCTTGAGCAAAGGAATTGGACCCTTATCTGCAATACATGGAGTCGTCGTGGATTGTCACACCTGCTGCAGGAACATACTCGAGCGGTTGATTGCAGGCTGTTTCTCAGGAACGAAAAGGGCGTTTGATTCCTTCAGATATCTCGAGCAGATTGTGTTTGTGTTTTTGCTGGGCAAGAAATAATTTTTCTCGAGTTCAGCAAAGTTCCATCTCTTTCAAGGACACGGAACGGGAAAAAAAAAGCGTTTTCTATTTGGAGGTGCTGACGGGCCAACAGGCCAAGCCAGGCCTATCGCAAGCCCAGCAACCAGACACAGTGTTTCCTTTTGTCCTTTTTCACACACCTACCACTACCAGTCAATCCTTCAATTATGAACAGAAGGCACAATACATAGGTATGAGCCTCTATGGCTTCATCCTTCACTTCCCTTCATCCATTCCTTCACGCCAGATTATATCACACGCAAAATACAAACACAAAGTTAAAAGGAGTTACAGGTGTGTTTTGCATGAACAGATGTCATCAAAATTATGGGGCAATTTAATGATGTATTCATAAGAAAATTGATTATGTACATATATGATGAGCCAGAACAGACTTGAAGCTAAGGGTAATATACTTTAGAACTTCAAAACCTTGTTTAATTCGATAGCGGATGATGGCTTAAGACTTTTCAGATAATGATCAGTGCTCTCCCTCAAACGTGATTCCTCAGTGAACCTTGGGTAGATAAGTAATTCTGTTTTAGTGTTAAACTTTCTGTTTGTAAAATCTAAATTATGAGAGAATGGTTTTCTCCCTTGGGGTTCGAGCAGATTACATAAGGTTTTAGCATTTAGGACTTCTAAGGAAACGAAACCACAAACAGGAGGATAGATCAACTTTTCTTACTTATAAGTCATACGCATCAGAATCCTCAAGACAATTTTATCTGCATCTCCTCCCCGACAAGCTCAAATATTTCATCAATTCTGAAATAGTGCAAAGTCACTGTTACTATCACACAAGTTATGACATCAAGCCAGAAGCGAAAACTTCATGATAACAAAAGGTTGAGGAAAAAAAGATATGTTTTATTTTCAAGATTCAATAACTATAGTTCTTAGTTTATGAAATCCATAAGATAAAATAATACAATAATATGATTACCTGCTTGTCTTGATGTTCACATTAGCAAGCCAAGAAGTCAAATAAACCTGCAAAAGAAACTCTGGAGCAGTTAAAAGATATAAACCCAATATGCTAACTTTTGCACAAAAAAATCCAATCAAAAGATGGACTATTAATTAACTCTTTATATACATAAGACAACTTTGTCTTTACTATGAAGACAACCAGACAGAAGATGTAAAATATATGAATCAAGACAGGATCAATTGAGCTTTCTTCTGTCTTAAATGCCAAAATTCTCAAAACATAAGGTTTCAAAAAAAAAAAAAAATCTCAAAACATCAACCTGTACCTGTAAAACCTCATGGGATGGGGTTTGATCAGGTTGCCATGCCTTTGAGACACCAGCACTCCAATTTTTGGGCAGTGCGTAGCTATCTCCTGACAGAAGGCCAATACTCTGAAACTCATTGAACTCCCCATCAAATAGCTCATTGGACCATTCTAATGATGCGTCATGTTGTACACCTTCCTTGAAGGTTACCGAGAGGAGTTCCAAGACAAGCAATCTCTGTGATATGGAAACAATTTCCATTGTCAGGAAGGTTCCCAAAGTAACAAGGAAGCAGGCAAGTATAATAAAACCAATATTTGTACTGGCTAAAAAAAGCTAAAAGTAAATGCACATGCTGTTTCTGGAATCAATAAGCATCACCATAGAACAATAGAAAAAGAACTCTCGATATACCTTCAATTGCAGTTCTGAAATGAACATATCGACAAGTTCTTGAGCAAGATTCTCTGTGATAAACCACAAATAAACGAATTTAAATTCAGGAGTTTATCTTGTTTGATTAAAAGCAATGTATTTTCACTGGGAGGATCTGAAAGAGGATCGTCCAATAAAAAAAACCAGGAAAAACATAAAAAACTAGATACTGATCCATGGGATACTGTTAAACTGAATATTATATGCAAACTAAGAATCAGTTTGCTAAATATAATCTACGCCCGGCATGTACCTGGTACGCAGCAACATGACTTCGAGGAAATGTTCTTCAGAGATTATACGCGCTTAGTTGGTTGGATGTCATATCGACCAGAGAGTAAAAGAAGGGGGCATGCTAACTTAAATCAGGTTTTGCATTGAAACAAAATGAATAACCCACCGAATTCTAATACGGAGAACCATTTGAATACAGGGGATCCTCCTCCGTCCCCCGAATCATTCATATCATCTTGGCGCTCAGTAAACCGTATCAACGGACTATTCGCGGCTACTTTGGAAAAACAACGCATAGAGTGAGAAGCTCTAACCAACTCGGCCGTAGCAAGGACCTGTTAACAGGTGAAACAAGAAGAACTATCACATGAACCGGCCATGCTTTGCGGTATCCAATCTTTGGATTGAACAGTCAATGAGAGTTTCGACCAAGCACAGCCTTACGCCCTTACCATCTCCCTATAGGCCGATAGAAGCATGCTCTGGCATTGCTCCTGAACAAAGCAAGATAGCAGAGCAGATCAGGAGACATACAAACACTTCATAGGCAAAATTCACCGAAATGATGGCGATGATTACCTCCCTGCGCGCAAGCTTACCGCTCGCCTTCTCGCGGATCCCGGGCATGTCCTTGAGCACCCCCAAATCCATGCCCGGCATGTACCTGTAACTACGCAGCAACACGCCCATCGTCAGCTAGTAAAACCCAAACCCCCCAAACCACCACGAAGGAAATACCGGGGCATGGTGGCGGAGAGAGAGAGAGAGAGAGTGGTGGACTTGCCTGCGGGAGAGGTGGGCGTTGACGAGGGCGGAGGCGTGGGAGCGGCCGTCGGCGGCGGCGGACAGCCACCGGGCCTTGGCGGCGAGCAGGCGCGACCACTGGTTCCGCAGGTTGCGCTGCGCCGCCGGCCGCCACTGGCGCAGCGACGCCGGCGACGGGGACGGGGAGGAGGACGGGGCGGCGTGGGGAGGGCGGGTCGGGGTGGCCGCCTCCATCGTCTCGCCTGAGAAGAAAGAGAGAGCGTTTCTCTTCTGTAGCATAGACGACATGGGTAACTCGCATACACGTTGGCGGGCCGGCGAATTGGCCCACCCACCCTTAAATTACAGGGGGCCCGTTGCTAGATTGACGTTTCGATATGCTCCAATCCGGAGGCTGGAGCACTTAACCAGAAACAATTCTTATTGGAGTACTAGTTTTACATGACGTGTTTTTTCATACGTTTGATCTCCCGTCTTGTTTAATTTTATTAAACATATAAACATATAGGTTATACTTAAAGAACCTTTATTTTTGAAATCACAACAAAATACTTACTTCATCTGTCTCAAAATAAAATATAAAAACCTTAAATCGAATGGAACATGTCCTAGCAATATAAATTTAAATTTGGTCAGACTCCAGTCATTCCTGATAAGTTCATCAGGTTGTAGGTTCTTACATCTGGGGACATATTTGGGGATGTAAGGAATAAATGATAATATTTATATGATTTTTTTTAGTAAGGCGAATAGTCACCAGTCTCAAAAAGTTAACGATAACACATGCTAAAAAATGAGAATGTCTTTTGAAAGTTAACATTTTATCCATGTGGCCAAACACTTGCAATAAGAGAAGCAGCAGGGAGACATAACACCAGATTAGTTTCCAGTGATCAGAAACATTAGTCACGAAGGTTGCAGCAAAAAAGAGATCAGGAATCAAATATACTATCCAGTTTAAAAGATAATAAAAATTGATCGCAACACATCCAGTTACTACGATGGCCATTGCTGTACTCGGGGCAGGAGCAGGACAAATAACTCCATACACTGGCATGAACAAAACGCATACTGCTACAAGATTCTCATTGTAAGTAAGTCGGCAACCTAAGCTGATTCTGAGGTCTCCCATTACATGACAGCCGGCCAAGCAGCACTGCGACTCGCAAGAAGTTCCAGCTAGGAGTTATACAGCTAAGGTGATCAAAACCCAAAGAAACCTAGCTCGGTAGCCCTTTCTTTCTCGAATGTCTCAAAATACTGGTAGATGATTGTAACAGCGAGCAGTATCCCAGTTCCTGAACCAATTGCACCCATGAAATCAGCTAGGACAGTCAATGCACCAATGCAGACTCCACCAAATGCAGCAGCTGTAGGGATGTATCTGTTCAATTCTTTCTGTAAATTCGACTCACGATGGCCTGGCATCACCATTTGTTGCTCCTGTTAAATTGCAAAGGTTGGTGGTTTAAAGGTAGCTCTTGCATGATAATTCTGCATTCCAGACCAGATATAGAAAATAGTTTTGTTTTATTTTACCTTGAGCTGTTTAGCAACATCCTTTGCTGATGAACCAGATACTTCAATCCATGTCTTTGAGAAGAGAGCACAAGCTGACAGCATGAAGACCACATAGAACAGTGCATGGAATGGATTTGCGAGAACATCAGCTAAACTGCAACATTTCCAGTGCATATGCCAAGGTAAGTATAATTAAAAGTAAATTTTATCAAACAGTAACAGAAACTAAAATTGCGAGCACAAAGAGATGAAGGCCTCATTGATGAAATTGATTCTTCACCTTGATGGAGCAGTTACATAGTAAGCAAGACCACCAACAGGAACAGAATGGCCAGAGTACTCAGATTCCTTCCATTTCCCAATAAGGTTGACTAGGAAATTTCCACTGTACCTCCTGTAGAGAAGCTGCCAAAGCAATACAAACATGTTAATGCTAAACACAAACATTAAAGATTTATCTTGCTAAAGCAGTGGAATTGAAGTTCAGACCTGGGATATGAAATAGAGGTTGGTAATCAGTGCAGAATGCAGAATGATGGGCATGTTTGAAGTGTAGAACAGCTTAATTGGGTATGAGCCTTGTTGACCGCGGGCATTCTTGGATCTCACTGGTAGCACAACACGGAAGCCTTGGAAGTAGATAACTATGAGGAAGACTAAAACAGTAGCAAGCAAGTTGGTCACATTTGGAAGATTCTGGCGGTAGAAAGCCTCGCGCAAGGCACGGACTTTGTCGGTTCTAGTAATCAACAGATGGAACAATGCAATGACAGCCCCCTCGAACTCAGCACCACGGCCACTGTTGATAGTTGTGGGGCTAAATGCCTTCCAGATGATATTCTCACTACAGAGAAAGATTTCCATAAGTCAAGTTGAATAGAAAATGTCAACAATAGAGAAGAACAAAGTTCAATGTGCTCACCAGATATTGGTAGCAATAAAGAGAGAAATGCCAGAACCCAAACCATAACCTTTCTGGAGAAGTTCATCCAGACAGATGACAATGATGCCAGCAAAGAAAAGCTGAAGTATAATGAGGATGGCATTTCCAGTTCCAAGCTGGCTTACACTGCCATACATTCCAGACAAAACATATGCCACAGCTTCCCCAATTGCAATCAGGATACCAAGTAACTTTTGTGCGCCATTCCTGGGTAAAAAAGTACATTAGCGTAACAAATATAATCAAAAGACATGGTAAACATGAATCAGATACGTAGTAGCATTTAATCAATAGCCATTCGCTGAAATATGGTGGGCTACAAACAGCAGACCATAGTAAATAAGGCACTAAGTTTCAAGGTTCAGGTAATAGTAAAGAACATAGTGTTAATCTCATAATACTTACAGCAGAGCACGATCCTCTCTCACACTGTTGTCAACTTCAATGATCTTTGATCCCACTAGAAGTTGCATTACCATGCCAGATGTCACAATTGGAGTGATACCCAGCTCCATAACAGTACCACGGTTTGATGCAAGGATAACACGCATCCAGTAGAAAGGATCAGCTCCAGTAGTTGAATGGATGCCATACAGTGGTAGCTGGCTGCATACCAGGAAAATGAATAGGGAAATAACAGTGTAGATCACTTTTTCTCTAAATGGTATTTTCCTATCAGCACTCTGTACTTCAGGCAGGAAAGCCAGAAAAGGCCTGACAAGATGCAATACCCTAAAGCCACCAGCCATCTTTTCCTGTGACCAAGCAAAAAAATAGGTCAAGATTTTGTACAATGCACACAAAATTATAAAACATGTGTCTTGTAAAAAAATTTCAAACTTGGTAGTTCAGACTTTAGACAGTATATCACACTTCATTTAAGAAAAAAAACACTGAATCATAATAGAACCTAACAAACTAGAGAAGTTATTCTTCACCATAAACAGGAGGGCGCAATTGAAAAAAAAAATGGAAACCCACATTAACATGAACAATAATAGGCTTCTTTCTTAAATAATGTGCAAACATGAATGCTTATTCAGCTGCATGAACTTGAAATCAAACAATATGATCACATCACAATGAAATAATAATAAAAAAAATTCTCAGTTCCTCATGCAGACTTGATTGAAACAGTTCGGTGAAAAAGATAACTCTGGCTAGGCCCGGGCTGCACAAAAGGAAGCTGATGATCCGCATCCATCATATGAATCACAGAATGAATACATGACACGCTTTCCATGTCAATCTGACAACATGCATAGATGAATCACACGCCCGATAAATGAACAGGGTAACTGGCTGCTGGCCATGTAACGCTCATATGACAAATATGAAGGCCACTAAAACTATGGCATCCCTAAAATTTTTTTCTAAAGCAATCCTCATGGATCAACCAGCTTGGATCTAGAACAAATTTCGCTAGCATCAGGCCTACATCTACACCGCACGACCAACCGAGCGTTCCATCACACGCGCGCACGTAGCACCCAGATCAGCCCCCACAAAAAAAAATCCCCAAACTGAGCACGAATCCACCACCGGAACACCCACTTCCCGCTTTTTCACCGATCAAAAAGTGGTCGCCGCAAAAACGTAATTCTAACGACAAGCCACTGAATCTGAAACGCATCGCCTCCGCGAGATCCAGACACGAGACATGACGAGGAAGGGAACACGCGGATCTACCAGGTAGCGGACAACGACGACGGCCCGACGCCGAGGAGTGCGGATGCCTGCCTCGCCGCCGCAGCCGGTGGTGACGAGCTCGTCAAATCCAACGCGACGAGAGAGAGAGAGAGACGAAGAGAGGAGAAGAAACAACGCGCAAGGCGGAGGTGGTGGGGGGGAGGGGAGGGGTTTAGAGGGATGGGGAGGAGACGAATCGTGCGTGCCCCCTCCTCCACGCTGGCGCTCACTGACAGGTGGGCCCCGGAACGTGGAGGCCGTCGGATCTGGATCGTGCGGTGGAGATGCGCTCCCGTGACGTGGAGGCGGGTGTCTAACAGAAAGGGGAAGGGGGGAATGGGTGTCCGCACGGGACAAGGTTTGCTTTTACGGTTTTTGGCGATGACCTGGTCTCTCATCTCTCATATCTACCATCTTTCCGTTCGGATAACGTGATGAGCTGGGTGCTTTTGGTGAAAGATTTGTTAGGCGTTTTTGTTCGTTCTGGCTTTTGATCATGGCCATCAGATTCTAACTCAACGTACGTGCCCATTGTGAAAATTGTTGTGCGTTTTTCACGAGATGTTTGCACCTATATTTTGAGTGAGGGTCCTCAATAGCTGATATATGGGTCCAACATACCCTCGGCTCCACATGTCAACAGAGGATCTGAATTGTTATATTTGGACTTGTCGAACAGTCAAAGCTCTCGAGACGACGCTTTAAAATGTTTGTATGTTTTCGTTACTTTTTTTAAGCTGCTACTCTCTCCATCCCATAATATAAGATATGGTCAAACTCAGCACAGTCTTTAAAACTAATCTTCTTTAATTTATAGTTTCTCATATACTATACTATAAGGTTTATTGCAATAAAATTATAATCATATTAAAGTAAATTTAAATGTCAATCCAATAATATTAATTTTAGCAAATAAAATCTAATTTATATTATAATAATTGTTGGTAAAATATTTTTAAAGTTAAATATTGTAATTTGTGCACGTCTTATATTATAGGATAAATGAAGTAATATTTTATAGGTTCACGTTTCACGAACTACTAAACTATAAACAGTGTGTTTTAAAAATAAAATTTAGCTGTTGCTCTCTTTCTTT